AATCAAGAAAGTCTGTGACTTCCGCACATTCTGAAGGGATTGCGGTTTACATAAATTTTCTCCCAATTGGAGATTGAGCTCTTCCTCATCTTACACATGGGATTTAGTTGTCACTCAATGGTAACAGCTGTGAAAAGGTGAAGCGGCCCACCGCTCAGAATATTGCCTCTGCTTTTAAAGCAATTAACCCATGAACAGGAGGATACCTGGTGATATCAAAGGGATTAAGCCAGGCAGTGCATTATTAACATTTCCTTGAACTAATTCTAACTCTGACTAGCTGTCAGAAAAAGACTCTTCAGTCTTTAAAAAAAAAAAGAGAGTTTTTTGCCCCCCTTTCCAACCCCCCCCCCCCTTTCAAAACGAAGCAGAGTTATTGCAGCCTAATGTGCCTACTTTAGAGCAAAATGCAAATGAACAGATTTGGTAATGTCTTCAAACAGACTGAACTCAGCGCTGGTTTATTATGGGGATGAAGCAGGGAAAAAAAAAGGAAATGTATATATATATGATCAATTAGCCTGAGGTCACAGCAGATATTCTTTTAAAAACAAAGTAATATTTGAGTACATTCCTTTCTTCTCTCCCTCCTAAAACTTTGTTAACTACTCGGTACTAAACCCAGATGCTTTTGAAACAGCCAAGATCTTCACACTGTGCTAAAAGTGCGATAATTATGATAATCTGTAATCTGGAAAAATCCAAATACACCCTGTAAGGAGACTCCTCCTTCCCCCAAACTCAATTTTTTTAATTTCCTGTGATGGTCAAGGGGGCATTGGCATGCCAGATGGGAATGCTCCTCTCTCATCCACCTGTCTTCCCTAAACCATGGCCCAAAAAAAGGAGTCAAACTCTTTGGGGATGACTCCTACTCCACCAAAACCATGTACCCAAGGGACACGGAGTATTTCCCCACCCATCACAAGCAGCAGAAAACCTTTCCCAGCACCGGTTAGTTTTAGGGGAGCATCAGCTATGAGGTGCCTCTGGGGAGGATCACGAAGGTGACCCATGCTCCTGGTGCTCCAACACTCCTGGTCTTTCTCAGGGACCTTCCCATGAGTGCTCCAGGACACACAGCACTGGAGCAAGAAACCTCAGGGCTGCCAGGATGGTGAAATGCCATTTCCAAAACACCTTGATGATTTAAAAATGATCAAATCATTTGGATGACTTCATCATACAACATGCCTACCGCTCTTTGTTGTTGGCAGTGGGAGAAGAGTTGGCTCCAGTTTCCATAAACATCCACAGTGTGTTGCTTGCAAGGTTTGGGAGGCAGGGAATAGATATCTATATCTACATATATATACGTACAAAAATATAGATATATAAGTCCAAAACTTCACACAATACCCAGAATAGCAAACCAGAGAGATGTGAACTGCTTAATTTAATGCAACATTTCCCCTCTTTTCAAAAACTCATGGGCAACTCAGCCAGAATAAAGCTGGTAAAAACTTACTAGAAGTATTTGGGCAATGACACCTTCCACTCTGCTACTGCCCCTGCAATAAATTAGCTTTGTATATTCAGATACAGCCAAACAGCCAGGCTATGAAAGGTACACACCGAAAAAAAAATGCACTTCAAGCAGGAGAAAGCATCCTATTTCTCTTTGCAATAAAGAATGCAAAGAATGCATCATCTGTGCAGAAAATGGCACTCTGGCAATCATATTATAAGAAGATAATTGGTTTACTTTGTAAACTTGCTATGCTTTGCCTCCCACAGTAAAACAAATAAATACTTGTTTAAAGAAACAATCCTATAGCCTCACTTGCTGCGTCCTAAAAACATAAAGCAGCTCCCCCCTCTTTCAAAGCAAAGATGAATTATTTGCCTCAGTTACAAGAGAAAACTCTTTGTAAATGCCATTTTACGATAATTACAAGCAATTTATTAAGATTGTATGGAGGGGGAATAAAAAAAAAGAAAAACAAACGTATTTTGAGAACTAATTCAAAGGAGTAAACGGCTCGTTCGGCGATAGTCTGGATTACTGACAAAAGGGTTTTTTGCATCAAGGAGGTTCAACAGAACTTTGTTTTAAGAAGCACAATCCAGGCTTTAAAAAAAATAATAAATGAAATGAAAGAATTAATATAATAAAATATAATATAATATAATATACAAGATGTTGGAATACTTCCTATCGACCCTGGCAGTGTCTGCACAGAGCATCCCGCCAGCCATCACCTGGCAGAGAAGAAATCTGCTTAAGGAATAAATTTGATCCTAATCCCGCCTGCGCCGTAACATCCCGAACACCACCCAGCCACGGACGGACCCGCCACTTTTTCCTTAAGCAGTAAAAAGAAATTGTCCTGACCTGCTGAGGAACAAACTCGGGAAATGCTTCTTAAACAAACAAACAAAAAAATCAGTGGGGGGAAAAAAAGGGAGAGATTTACTGTACGGGGATGCTGGGAGGCAGAGAAAAACCCCGCGAGGGTAAACAGCAACCCTGGCCGGCTGGTGGGGAAAAAAAGGAAAGGTTTTAGAGGTTAAGTTCAGGTCAGACGACAAATGAAATTGTAACAACCCAACTGACATTGTATAATGTCTTCTTCCAGGCGATCAATAGGGCAGCGTCAGCCCCATTACCATAGAGATGGCTTCCTCCCCACTGAAGGGTGGCTATTGTTTGAGGAGAGAGATTTGCCACTTGAACCGTGTTCCTCCCGAAGGATCTGTACTTCATCAATTATTTCTGTTCCTAACATCTACATATTTTCATATTAACATCCACATTTTGCGTGGCACAAGGAGCAGGAGCTTATTTTTCCTCCGGTACATCACAGGGGTCATTCCATCCACTAAATTTTAACTAAATCACAAAAATACATGAGGATGTGACAGACCAGTTTGGATCCTTTGTGAGTACGGACAAGCCCGGTTAAAACCAAAACACGCCGTCTTCAGATATTTACAGCTTTCAAGCAGACAGTGCCAGTAAACACTTTCTGAAAGGTTGTTTTGGGGTTTTTTTCCTAAAGTAAATAAATGGCAATAGAAATAAACTTTATGACATTAATTTTTGCTAAATGACATTTTATGACATTCATTTTTGCTAAATGAATGTCATAAAAAATAAATTAATCTAAATGGCAACAGAAAGAAACTTTTTCTTTGCTAAATGAATGTCATAAAAAATAAATTAATCTTAAAGTGCTTAAAAGGAAAAATGTAACATTGTAATTTGGAAATAAAACTGACCCACAATACCTTAAAATTAATTTCCAAAAAATCAATTGCTGCTAGGCTGAATAATTGATTCTGTCAGTGCCTTGTATCTATGAAATAATTTTCTGTTAAGTCCTCATAGTTTCTATCATCTCACCGTTCCAGGTTTTCCGTTCTTTCGTGCAAGTTTTAAATTTGACAGAAGAAACACCTTCCAAATCCAATTAAACAAAACCAACAAAAAAATATTAAACCTTTACAAGCGTAAAAATAATTCCCAAATTTAGCCTGTCATTTCTCTCCTGTATTTTTATTTCTCCAAAGCGACGAGCACATCATTTCACATGCACAAAACGGGCACGTAAAGAACTGCCACATAGTGTTAAAAGTAAAAAGTGGGGCAGATCTTTACAGTAACTGTAATAATGGGAACAATCATAATTAAAAAAAAAAAATCAGAAATCAATATTCAAAATATTTAGTAACTCCTTGCAGGAGTTTTTAATGTGATTAAAACAAGTTGTGTTCTGAGGCTGTGCCCAGCACTGTGCGTGGGAGGGCAACGTCGCTTCCAGCTTCCCAAATACACTATAAAATACAGAATATTAAATTAAATAATGCCAGCTTAATTACACATATTATCCAACAGTAAAAGTAATCACTTTAAATGCCTAGAAAAATATTTAGGAATTACTGAAGCAATGCCAGTAGGTGTAGTTTGGAGCTGATGCACCGTCTGGAAGGTGATGTGCAAACAGCAGCTCCTCTTACAGCAGATGAAGATGCACCCGGACAGACGGACCCCACGGACCAAAGTTTAAGTGAGCTCAGGGCTCTCGGGCTGTGCAGGATCTGGCCCTCCCGTTTATTCCTCATTTTATTTCACTTTTATTTGCACTTGCTCTATGGGAAGGTTTTCCCAAGGGGTGACGGAGCTCTGGAAACGGGTGAAAGAAAAGGGTTTTTTGTCAAAATAACCTCGATAAGGAAGCGCCCCGATATCATTTCAGATTTCACTGTTTGCAGCCCAGAAACGTGCCCTATTTTTCCTGAAAAAGAACATCAGAAATTGTTTGTACGGGTTGCGATAATCCTCTCAAATATGGGTCAGGCTGAGGTTAAGAGCAGCCAGAACTTGCACATCAAAGACGAGCGGGGTTAACAAAACCCCCCCAACCACGTGCGCATCCCGATTGTTCCCTTTTCTCCGGAGAAGATGGATGGGCTCTGGTCGGTGTCCCCCCTCCCGGCAGACGGCAGGACCTGCACCGGGGGACGGGGACCGGAAGGGGACCAGCGCCGATGCTCCCCCTGGTCCTTGGCTGCCACGGCAGGCAACTGCCCCCCCGTCTCTGCCAGGAGCTGCAAATAAACCAAGTTCAGGGTTTCTCGATAGGTGAAGCTCATCCTGTTAATTTAAACAGACCATCTGCATCTTTCGAGAACGACAAACTTCATTAGTTCTGGTTAGTTAAACCGAGCGGTGATTTGCGATAATGAGCCTGAACAACCTGTCACATCTGTGGAAGGGAAAGGGCGCACTTTTTATTATGACTATTATTATTATTTAACAGAAAGAAAGGGTTGGGGGGGTAGGGGGGCAGAGAAAAAGAAGGACCTTTTGTGAAGGAGAGAAGGTCAAATTCAGATTAAACTGAATCAGAGGAACTAATTACAACTGGAAAGGGAGGAGGGGAACGCTAGTCCGAAGGTTAGAAACAGAAGGAGCCTTCGGAAAGGTCCCGACCCAAGAAGGAAGAGCCCTGCCATCATCACATCAACGAGAAAAAAAACCCCCCCGATGACTTTACCTGAATACAGTGTAAAAAAGCAAAGAGGCAGCAGCCGCTCCCAACAAACCGCAGAGGAGACTGACCCGGTAGGCGGGGGAGCCGAGGGGCAGCAGCCCCCTCATCGCCGCTTGGGCCAGCAGCGTGAACAGGGGGTAGCCAGGAGGGTGGGCGACCTACGGACAGATCGACACGGGGTTAAAAAACAGGAGTGAAATTCTCTGAAATGAAAAGGAGAGCAGCACGCCGGGGTCCAGCCAGCGGCAGGAGCCGGGGGGATCTCTGAGCGGTGCCTCTCCCTGCCCCATCCTTTCGTATCAATTTTTAACTCCGTAAATATTTTTCCTGAGTGGATTTAGTTCCACGCCTCGCCCATAATAATGAGGCGGTGAGAAAAGGAGGTGCCACGTTTCATTAGCGTGCCTCAAAGTGCTCCTTGTTTGGGTTCACAGTATATTAGGGTCATTCAAAAGGCTGGGGTTTTTTTTTTTGTTGTTTGGGTTGGTGTTTTTTTTAACTAAAAAAAGCAGCTTCTCAACTATTTTATTGGTTAGCAAGTTGAAAGACCACACTGCTATCGGATTACCACCGCGCTGACAGTCCTAAGGTCTTGCCTAAAGGGATCATGCACCATAATAAAGTTTATTAAATAATAAAACTTATTAAAATTGTTAACCCGATTTATTTTATTCTCCCCAGCTTATACAAAATTTGGGTTGATAATAAGCCAGCTACTGTATATACAGTAAAGCCTTTGCTTTATAATTTAGTTTAATTGGATTTAAAACTTGAAGTAAATTGTCGCGTGCTGTACTTATAAGTTAGTAAAAACTGTGGTTTGAAAATAAATTAATCTACTTTACTCCATGCTTAATTAAACTTCCTTAATTCCTAAAACTGTTAATGAGAGCATTGATTAAACAATAAAACTAATACTTACTCCAAGCTCATATGCGGCTGTGATCAGCTCCCCTGTGAAAAAATAATGTAAAACCAATAATTACTATTAGGAAATGACACTCCTCCAAAGTTTTCAAAATCCAAATGCTTGCATTGGGGTTTTGCATTAATTTGACTGGATAAAACTGTAAATCTGTAGAGATTTAACAGCATGAAATTTTCTAAGAATATTTTCTCCCTCTGATGTCATTGCACAAAATATCTTTTGTATGTTTTCACGAGACTTTTTTATGAACAGATAAGTGAAAGTGTAGGTAGGCTCGGGTAAAGGATGGCTCAGGATATTAAAAATGCAGACATTTGTGCGTGTGTATTTTTAATTTAAAACCAATTGATTCAATAACTTTCACACACTATGGTTTGCAACGCTTAAGCTGCATTGTCTCTTAAAAAACCCAGTTGTTTCCTCATTAAAAAATCCACAGCTTTATCATTTTAAAAGGGGCAAATATAATCACTGATCGTGCAAATCTGCATCCACACATTTGGGAATGCTGCTCTGCCTTGATGCTAAAGAAATTCTTGCAGCCTCTGCTCCACAAGTAACTCTTTTACCTGTCAGAGAATGCTGCATCCAGCAGCCACTCCCATTAGAAACATCATTTAGATTTTACACTTCATTTGTATTTTACACCAGAACAAATAACTGCTACAAAAAGATCCGTGTTAGCATAATAGTTAATAATACTTGGCATTTTTAGAGCACTTGACACTGAAGTATTTTGCAACACTCCTGAACGGCAGATATTAAATATATTCAATAGGCACAAACACATTCAGGGACTAAGGGTACAACCAAGGGATGGCAAAATTAAAAATTATGTCTGGTTTTCCTTATTTTTTTCAAATTTCATGGCCCAATTTTGCAGAGCCTGGTCTTACTGGTCCTGCTAGTTTTACAAGTGCCAAGGTCACAGCAGCTTTGTCCCATCGTTAGATGGTAAAGATGCAAAATGAAGGGCGCTGTTGGCTTTAAATGCTAAAATTCACAATATTTTAATTTCTGCACATTAGACTTCATAGACTTCATAGAATGGTTAGGATTGGAAGGGACCTTAAAGATCATCCAGTTCCAACCCCCCTGCCATCAGCAGGGACATCTTCCACTAGACCAGGTTGCTCAAAGCTCCATCCAGCCTGGCCTTGAACACTTCCAGGGAGGGGGCATCCACATTATTACTTCCTTAACCACCCAACGCAAAGGAGGACGATTGTACAAACAGCACCTTTAAATCCTGATATTAAATTCAACAATATATTTTAAAAGAAAGATGCAAGTCAACCCACAATTGCTGTTTGTCACTGCTACAAAATTCCAGCTACCGTCCCACGCCAGCCCAGGGAACAGCCCTGTGGCTTTCTGCACAAAAGCCTCTCAGATGTGGATTTCACCACGCTTGCAAACACCAGCTATTTTTATTGCTACTCTATTTTAGGAAAGTTTCAACCTATTGCAAGATAGCCTGAAAAAAATCAGATGCAACAGGAAAACTGTCCATCCTAAACTGATGTCTTTAATTTCCAGTAATTCTGATGTTTCCAGGGCTGGGAAGCATCTGATCGTCCTGCACGCAGTAAAAGGTGATGTAAATAAAGGAAACTCTAAATTTGGCATCCTGGGGGTTCTCCAGCATGTCAGCACAGCAGCTTACAGTGTCTGTCCATCACCCATCGCATCAGTACCCAGGGATGGCTTTACCTTCATTAAAGTCCTTCTGGGATAAAGCAAAATGTGCATCTAAAATGCCTCAAGATTAAGTTCATGTTCACACACATCGCTATGATATTGGTTTATATCACGGGGAAAAATAACCCCAAAGCAATACAGGCACAAGCCAAGGAGAAAGCTAAAAAAAACCCAAAACAAAACAAAAAACCAACCCTAAAATCCTGGTGGATGCCACTGCCAAGCTTTGAAAGCCAACAGCACAACCTTGCCGTTGAAGAATTAAGGAAAAAAAAGTAAGAAAACCTACAAAAACAAGCTCCCAGGCTGCAAGCCTGTTGAATTCCACTGGGAAAACCAAAGGAAGCACATAACACCCACCACTTCAGATAAGATTAATTCTCCATCTCCCACTCACATACTTGGGCATCACTTACAGCCCCTATGGGCTGTGTAAGTGCAGATATGGGCTCTAGAAGTGAAGATATGGGCTGCAGAGCATTATTATTAAATGACAAAACACAGAGAGGAAGACTACAGCATCCACAAACTTGATTTCAATATATTTCTCAAGAGAAAATGACCTACAGCATCTTCAGACACCAGCTCAAATTGAGTTTATTCCTGCATAATCCTGGTGTAAATATGTTTCTGACCATCCACCTTGATTCCCCAATAAAGGTGCTCAGGCAACAGACCCAACACTGCCTGAAAACTGATTTATCCCCAGCAGGGTTGGGAGCTGATGTCTGAAATACCAGAGGGAAGGTTTGGGTTGGTTTTCTTTCTTTTAACTTGAGTTTATTTGATCCCTTTTTAAGCTGTTTTAACATCTGTGGATGTTTCCGAATTAGCTCTAAAACTCATTCTCTCACTTCTTTATTATAACACCAAGTAACATGAAAAAGCTACCAACGAAAATACCTATTGCCTTTTACGTTTTGGGATTACTGCAAACTTCAGGAACAATTAAAAATATATAGATAGCTTAAAAGAAAAATAGTAATAATAGACTCCCTGCTTGAAAGGGGATAGAGCAAATCCTTAAGCGCCTCTTTACTCACACAAGTAGCTTCAGTGCTTTGGATGGTGTAAGTTTGAGCTCCGTGTTCAGGCGCAGGCAAGTTAATTGCCTAGAGCAGGGCCACTGAGACCTTTCAGGGGACTCCAGCCAGGCAGCAGGGCTGAAGCGTCCCATGGGCTGCTCAGGCTGTGAGAAACAATGGGAATAACCCAGAAAAGTCTTAGCAAAATGTGGTGGTTGCACTGGGCTGGCAGCCAAACCCAGCCGCTCGCTCACTCCCTGCCCC